GTCCAGGTTGGATCAACGGAATGGAGAACAGCACGCAAGCCAGCACTTCTGTCGAGAAAAGAAATCACCATTGGAGAAGTTACAAGTTGATTATTGACCCGGCTCTGAAAAAAGGACAGCACAAACTCTACCGTTACGATGGGCAACATTTCAGCATGCCTGTAAGTGGGGGGGTCGTGGGTGTCCCCCATTGTGTTGTGCCCCCCCCCTTTCTGCCCCCCCCCTCCATCTTACCGGCATTTTGGGGGCTGGGGGTCCCCTCCGAGTCGTGGTAACCCTTGCTGTAGCGCATGTGTGTAGGAGGGGGGTCTGGGGGGGGACACACACAGCCACCAAAGTTACTGCCACCTGACACTCTGTATTCAACTGTCAGGAGCCCAAGGAGCCCAAACCTGCGGCTTTATTTCTGTGTTTCCAATCTGTGTGCATTTCCCAGCAGTATTGCAATTTGACACGTGTGTGTATGTGTGTGTATGCTTCCCCCCTTCCCTTGAGACAGCCCGTGCTTCCTTGGGGTTTATTTTTTCTTTTATTTGTGTCTTAAATTTCAAGCTCTGTTATTGCTGGTTTTGTGCTTTCTCTCCTCCTCCTCCTCCTCCTCCTCCTCCTCCTCCCAGAACTCCGGAATCGCTCCTGTGGATTGTGTCAGGGATCCCAGAATAGGGCGAATATGGACCAAAACTAAGGAGTTGGAGCTGTCTGTCCCCAAATTCAAGGTACTGCCCCGACTTTGGGGTTTAATTCTGTATTCTTGTTTATCTGGGAGGGAAGCTTCAGTTCCGAATAGTTTAATGGACCGTTTAAATGACAGTCATGTTCCTATTAACATTATTATTTGGCGAACTGTTTAACAATAATCCTCTTCTATAAAGATAACGAGAAATCAATTCATCCGTCTGACGAGATCACTTGAAGATTTTGGAGCGGTGTCTTGGGGGCTTCTCGGATTGGGGGGCGGTGGAGGGGGGCTCTCTGCCGACGGTACTGCTCAAAATACATATTTGTAGCCCAGAAAGGAGCCAGTTTCAATGAATGGCTGCAGCGATAGAGGTTCTGCTCAGCTCCGGGGTTCATCCCAGAGCCGTGGAGGGCAGTTTTCTTTCCCCAGAGTTTGCAGGATGCTTTAACCCTCTCCCTCCCGTGCCATCCTTATGGCCTCCCCCAGCTGGTTAACGATGGTGATTATTTTTATCGCCCCCCTCCCACCTTGTGCCCGTTTCCAGATTGATGAATTTTACGTGGGGCCAGTGCCTCCCAAGCAGGTCACCTTTGCCAAGCTGAACGACAACATCCGTGAAAACTTTTTGACCGACATGTGCAAGAAATACGGCGAAGTGGAAGAGGTGGAGATTCTCTACAACCCGAAGAACAAGAAGCACCTGGGCATCGCCAAAGTGATCTTTGCCACTGTCAAGGGTGCCCGGGAGGCCGTCCAGCACCTTCACAACACCTCTGTCATGGGCAACATCATCCACGTGGAGCTGGATACGAAAGGTGAGGGGGGCACATCTTGGCCTCACGCGTTTGTGGTTTGCAGTGCCCCTGCCCGACCCTCTCCTAAAACGAGAGGCTGTTGCAGATCGCGAGAGCCCGGCGATTAAAAATATGAAGGGAGTGTTCCTGTCCCCCCTGCGAGCGGGTCTGGTTTCTGGGGCCTTGGCAAGTCACGTGGAGCCAAATGTGTTGTCTGTTGCTAGGAGACAGCCCTGTAATTTGCAAAATGCTGCCATCCTGCCCGGCCCCTGCCTGTACCCTGCCCTGTCCCCTGCCCTCGGAGGCCTCCCGTGCCCCTCATCTCCGTGTCCCAGGCTGGCCCTGCTCGGCCACCTCCCGGGACTGCCGGCCCCCGTGACACTTGACTTTGGCAAACTTGGGATTTTGGGGCGAACCCTGGGGGTTCTTGGGACCCAAATCCCTGGATTCTGGCGGTGGCAGCGGGGCTGGGTGCTGTCCTCTGCGTGCCTGGCATTTCATTGATACTTCTCAGCAAACTGGAGGCTGGCAGCAAAAGAGTGCACACGCAGCACTTGTCAGTGTGTGTGCGAGTGTGTAAGTGTGAGACTGGCTCTTAAAGCGACAGCAGCTCCCAGTCCTGGAGGCAGCCAGCTCTCAGCCCCAGACCCGAGCCCTAGGGAGCCTAATAAAGTTCCTGGAAGTATGAAAGCATTGCGTTTCACCACTTTGTCTTTTCTCTTTCCTCCAAGCCTGTTAGTGAAGAGCTTTGCTAAAATGTGCCTGAATTTTAGAAAATGTCTAAACCTGAGGGAGGTGTAGATCTTTTGCCACTTGTGCTTCTTCATTGCTTATTCAAACATGGGATTTTTAGTGTAAAACTGACTTGCTGCACACTTTCTTGGGATGAGGACATTAACACCATTTTCTTAAAAATGCTGCTATTTTTGTTCTGTATTAAAAGGTCTCAACAATTTAGTGCACAGCCTATACGGCGGTTGGTGTGCCAACCCACCTCTTACATGTGGTAAGAGGGTATGGTGGAATGTTTATTGACATTACTGATCACTGTTAAAAAAAAAAATCACAGTAGTAATCTAATATTTTCTATTGTGAGCTAAGCTTGACCTTACTTACGTATAAGTTGAAATTCTAGTATCATTCATTGTTACAGACAGGCTCCTTGCCCTGCTTTCTTTGAAATGTGAAGGTGAAAATTACATGTAAGAACAAATTAACCATTTGTAGATTTAATAGTGTGAGCTAAAACAGGCTTGTAAGTGGTGGATGTCTTAATGAGAGGCATTTTAAACAAGCTGATTGTACTACATTCCTCCTTGTTCTCCGTTTGTAAACTACTCTGCAAGTCTTGAACAGGCAGCTGTTCAATAAAGTTAGCTGTGCATCAGGGAAATGAGGGGGTTTTATGCTCTGTTTCTTGGGAGAAAACATTGAAGTCTTAGTTTTAAATTGCATTTTTGTTTTGTTTGCCAGCTGTATGCTTATAATGTTTTTTTTTTCCACAGTTGCATCTCTAAAAGAGTAAGATTGTCAGTATGCTATAATCTGTTAGAATCAAATAAAAATGTTATTCCTAAAATAGCATTAGCAGGTTAGGACATTCTTAAAATATATATGTGTAGTTTTCAACATTTCTTCCTAGTATTCAGCTTTTCATAAGGATGAAAAGTTGGTTAAAACTCTGATTTTCATAGTCTAGTAAATAAATACTAGCAGCAAAAGTGTTGTTTTATCTGTCTGGCCAGAGCACAGGCCTGGGAATCCGGAACTAATAAATCCAGCCTCCTCATCTAAGACAGGTTAGTTTAAAGCAACTTCTCTGCCTCAGTTTATCCACCTACAGAATGGACACAATACACAATAATTACCTGTCCTCAGAGAAATCGGAATCATTTTACATTCATAAACCTCTTTGAAAATGAAATTGTAGCTTTTACTGCATTATCTTGGGGATTCAGGAAGAATTATGAAACTGACAATTACTTTGTATTTATTTAAAAACAGGTTTTAAAGTAAGCCTAACACTTCCATATCCATGGCACTATAGTCTGGGGGGGGCTCTGTGTGTGTTACTATTTCAAGCATATTTCCAGAATCTCTTCAAGCTCTTGTAATGAAGAGTTCGGTTTTGTCATGACTCTAGTTGAATTAAAACAGTTCACATAGTTGAGGATGTGGCTCAAGACTTTGTGAAATGAGATTTGATAACCAAATAACCTCACCTGCAGCATTTATTCAAGATAAATGAGTCTTTTCCAGTATGCAGAATCATGCTAAGGGGTGTTTTGCTTTCAAATTGCACAGAGTGACTCACAGGGAGTTTGGGGTTTGATCCTGCAGGACTTCCTTGTGAAAGTAGTCCTGTTTCAGGGGAGATCTTGCCTGAATTCGTGTTCTGGGCTCAGGTGCTGGGTCTGTCCATTTTTCTATGTATTCTTTATCTTTCAGAACAAAACTCAGACAGTTTCAGGGTCTAATTCTGCTGCCTTTGAAGCTGATGACAGATTTCTTACAGACTGCAACATAAGTAGGATTGGATTTTTGTGGAAAAATCCAGTACTAAGAAACTCTGTCTTTGTAGAATTTAGGAACGAAGAGGCTAAGGCCCAGTAACAACATATGGGACAGTTTGCTTCTCTGGCTTTTATTCTTTGAAGGATGCCACTGAGCACACCTTAAACTAAGGGGGAGAAAAAAAAGAAGGAAAAAAAGGATGAGTTGGTATCTTTTTGGAAGAGGCAGCGTTAACGGTTTTGTCCTCAGCATTCCCATGCATTGTGTTTGCATTAATAACAGCCAGTTTCTACTAGCAAGGTGTATTGGGAGAGCTTTCTGAAGTGGCTCTGGGTGTTGGCACAAGTTTGTCCCTTGGGTGAGAGTTTCACTTCTCAAATCTGCAAGCTATTTGCTTGGCACTTTGGAGAGGAGGGAAACCGCTGCTCTCCAGAAAGCATGGTAAGAGCAGAGCTGCCAAACAGGCTGAGAAGAGGAAAAAGGATTTAGAAACCTCCTTGTCTTGGCTGGAGGAGGGAGTGTCTGACTTCACTTGCCCAGCAGATTATTTAAAAACGATCCCTGCGAGCTTCAGAGGTGATACCTGCTTGGCTGTTGCATGGATACACCGGGCAGGGAGTGGTAGCAGGGTCATGCGGGTGTCAAGAATATGTATTTTTACATAGGCTGTGTTATTTCTGTTTAATCAACTCTTCGATTGTGGTCTCTGCAGGTGAAACCCGCATGCGATTCTATGAACTGCTCGTTAATGGTCTCTACACTCCTCAGACCCTTCCTGTAGGCACCGAACAGGATGTATCGCCAACTGTGAATGAAACTCTCCAGGTATGTTTGCTTGGCTTTTTTTTTTTTTTTTTTTTAAGAATAACTTTCTAGAAGATTCCAAACAAATGCGTCATTAATGTTAGCGGTTTAACGCTTTTAATTTAGCTTCTTTTTTTTTTGTCTTGCTGTAGTTTCAGTGAATGTTACTAATTCACATTTAAATATAACTTGCTCATAATTGCTATAGCAAATGTAACTCTCTGCGAATGCAGTGCGTGTGGCTAATCTGTATGCCGGTGTCTGCATAGCATGGTAAGTGCTTTTTGTCTTTCTGAATGAAAAATACCCACCGAACCGACAGTATGTGCCCTATTAACATTAGAAATTCCTGCAGTTAGGACTGGATCAGATCTGTCCGGGAGATGAGATTATTCCCTTGAAGTCAGGGGGAATGATTTACAACGGTACATTTGGCCTAGCGTCTGCAGTATGTAATCCTTAGCGCGGACGTTCTTCAGCCTTGCTTAAAGGCTGAAAGATGGAAGGTGTCTGATCTTGAGTAGTAGCATGAATTTTCCAGAATCTTAATTAGTTGCTGGAATCAATTGTTAATAAAAGCAGTGGATAGAATTCCTGAGGGCTTGCAGGGGTCCCTCATTATTTAGGGTACAATTCTCTAAATGGCTTTGTACTGTTACCTGCTCCCCTCTGAACCCCACCGGGATGAGAGGACAAGGGGGCAGTGAAGCCTTCTTTGTGTGAAGTTGTCAGTCCCTTTGTCTTCTCTAAATGTACTTTGGCTCCTGGTTGTGGCTTAGGAACCCAATTTAAGGCATCAAATTTGAAAGAGATTTGTCAGATTTTTTTTTTTCCTCTTATGACTTCTTAAAATGCCATCATTTCATTAATTCTGTGATCAGATGTTTTCAGGACAGGTCAGAGCTGTACACTGAACGTGAAAAACCCCATTGATCTGAAAAAATAAAATTCTCCTCTTCTCCCACCAACCACCCCAACAGTAACAAGGCAAAACCCCAGTATCCTTTTAACAAAATCATAAAGAAGCTGATTCTTCCTTACCTCCCAGCAAGGTGTTTTTAAAGGCAGGAGGGAGGAAAGTAATGATTTTGCTGGGAGCCCTGTTACGAGCAGGACCTGGCTTTTCATTTCTGCTTGTTGCACATCTCTAAAAATGATTGTTCTTACTCCCTTTTTCAGGGTTAACAGCAAAACACTTAATTGATGGTATCCCCCAAAGCAGTCCCTGCTGTAATTATTTTTAAGATTGTTTCTCTAGGTATTGTGTTCGTGTATTATATTATTACACTGAATTGATTTTTTTCCCCAATTACAACCAAAATTATTGCTCTGTGCGTAACGCTGTTTGCATCATGTTCTTGCCACTAGAATCTGCCGACAAACTTACTTGCTGTTGTAGTTAAGGAAAATACTCCTGACATTTGCTTTCCCCTTCATGCAGAGCAGCAAAGACCTGACTAGTTCTGCAAACCACAATCCCTGCCTCCAGGCCCTATCCAAACCCCCCTAAAAAAACAGTCCACATCCCATCTACACCAAGGGTGCAGAGATGGTGGATTTTAGCAGGAAGCATGTGGCTCATTCCTGGCCCTTTCTGTGGGTTCTAAAACAGTTGAGGAAGAAACTTTCCTGATGTCCATGCAGTCACAGTCTCTAGGGAGTCACACCAAGAGCAAGTCCACGCTACTGAGCGGGTGAGATGTGTGTGAGTGTAGCAGGCAGGTGAGAGCTCAGCTTGAGTTTGGTGCTGGCAGGTCCTTTTAAGGGTGTCTCTACCTACCTGGGCTTGGGAGAGGAGCCAGCCTGTAGTTTCCCCAGTTTGCTATCCTGGTGTGTTTTTGGGGAGTCGGAGCTCAGTCCTGCCTCTCTTGCTACCGGGAGGATTCTCGCTGAGCTCTTAGTTTGCATTATGGAAAATTGATTCTGGTGCTGATGATTAGTGTGGCACTGTTATGACTCAGCAGAGTCTGAGTTGGAGCAGGGCTCCTCCTAGAAACCCCCTGAATGTGCCTGTGAAGTGAGCTGCAGAACAATTACTTGGCTTCTCTGTATGCTTGTAGGGTTTCAGTTTCAAATGCCATAATCTATAGTGCTTTACCTGAGCGTTTGTCTTTGGAGAGGGGTTTAAAAAAGTGGTTTTGGCAGTTGAGAACTTTTGTGCCTTTTATACCTGTAGCCTTCTCCTTTGTTACAGATGAACTTTTGTTAGAGAGGTGGTGGGTCAGCTCCCTTAGCTGGACCAACACAAAGCCCTGCCCTATAGATTTGGTTGCAGGCTGGCAGTTTGCTCATTTGTATGTTTTGATTTGTTTACCAAAAAAAAGATAAATTGATGATTTCTTATCTCAGAATTTAATTGTCTTTCCTATTTGCAATTTAGACAAGCCTTTCACAGCTGATAGAGTTTGAAACTCTTTTAGCTAGAAGCATCGTGCAAGTCTCCTGTTCATCTGATGCTCTTGAGTATAACTTATAAAGAATATTGTTGTATCTGCTGTTTTCTTCCCTTCTTACAGACAAGTTCCACTTTGCTTGCCTTTTTCTTTTAAATCAAAGGGAATTGTTAATAATGGATAATGGTTTGTGTTTTCAGGGATGCTGTAACCTCGTTTTGGGTTTAGGGTTTTTTTTTTTGACATGGAAATGAATCCAAACTCCCGGGTACCTCTGAAAACCAAATGGATTAGACAAATATCTTTTAAAAAGTGTGTGTTTAGGTGCTTTTCTCTCTTCTGTTTTTATAGTTGACAGATTCCCTGAAGCGCCTGAAAGACAGTAACCTTTCTTCTGCGGGATCATCTGTTACCCCAAACAGTAGCACGCCGTTTTCCCATGACACAGCCTATTCCAGCTGTCGGCAAGACACCCCAAACTCCTACAGCCAGTTCACCCCACAGTCCCAAGGAACACCTCACACCCCACGGTTAGGGACGCCGTTTTCCCAGGATTCTACCTATTCTAGTCGTCAGACAACGCCTGTGTACCATTTTGGGCAGGACAGTGGGTACAAACCCAGGAGACATGAAACAAAATTTACGGATGCCTACAACCGTCGCCCGGGACATCACTATGTTCATAACGCAGCAGGTGTTTACCGAGGGACGGAGCATCAGTTTAGTACGTACAAATCCCATCAGCAGGAGCCAGTTCAGTTCTCTCACACTCCTCCCTTGAGCCACTCTAGTTCTTCGAGCTACAAATCTGCTTTCTCTCCCTACCAAGCACCAGCTGTATTTCCCCAGTCTGATGAGCAGCAGTTTCCCCAGACTTCCAGGGAAACTGAGTACCGAAGACCTGCGCCACCTCCCACTGAGATGGTTGTGGAAAGCAGCGCTGCCACTAACATCGATTTTGTCCCGATGAAGGAGAAACAGGAGGAGCCTCCGCCCTTGCCCGATTCGAACTCTGTTCCTGAACCGAGCACAGCGTCCTTCTCTCAGACTCCAGAGAGAAGCGAGACCCCTGGCACCCCCACCATGGAGTCAGAAATGCAACATAACAGTTTAGACTCAAGGATTGAGATGCTCTTAAAAGAGCAGAGAACAAAGTTACCCTTTCTTAACGAGCATGACTCGGATAACGAGATCCGAATGGAAGGTAGCCCTATTTCCTCTTCCTCTTCCCAGCTCTCTCCCATCCCAATGTATGGTTCGAACTCTCAGCCTGGTTACAGAGGTCAGACGCCTTCCTCACGCCCTTCCAGCACAGGCTTGGAGGACATCAGCCCGACGCCGTTACCTGACTCTGACGACGACGAGCCCATCCCTGGGACGGCTTCTCTGAGTCAGAATTCCCGGGGGACGTCGGAGGCCAGCATGACTCCCATCGATCAGCTGAGCAGGACCTCCAAAATTGAGACCTCGGAGGGTAAAGAAATGGTGCCTGGTGACCAGACTCCAACGTCAGAAAAAATGGACGAGGTAAGTGATCTGGAACTGAGTTACGAAGCTCCGTGCATATCCCCCGAGCTGGGCAGGGAGTCACTCTTTTCTTTTGGTGTTGTTAGAGTGTAGGGTTTCTGGTGGCTTTTTCTTTGACTCAGGGCAGCTGGAAATGAGTTAGACGTGACACAAAGTGATGGTCTTAATCAACTTGCCGGTCTCCAGCTTTCCTTGTTTATAATGGCAGCCTGCTGCAATTTATAGCTTCAGGAGAGCTCAAGGACTGCACAAGCCGTGGAAGTTTGGCCAGTGCTTATGCTGTGTGAATGTCCTGAGTGTCGACAGACACTTAAGCCACTAGAGGAGTTAATCGAGCACTTTCTGCCATTGCTTTGGTCCCTGAGCGTGGGTGCGTGTGTATGCACACACTTGCTTAACGGGGCTTTCATGTTACGCCGAAGTATTGAATGTATACTTTGTTTGATAGCTCTCCAGCTATTTATGCCATCTGGTTTGAACGGGAGACAGTTGCTGGGTTTTAATACTTGCTTTGCTCAGTTGAAAGGGGGAGGTAGCTAGCTTGTGGGGGATGTGCTCCACTGAGTCTTCCAATAATAGAGCGGAGCTTGCTGCCTCTGCTGGGGCATTTGTGGCTGAAGGGACAGCAAGAGCTTAACGGTGTGGAATGGTGCCAGCAGACAGAGAAATTACATTGCGTGGCATGGCTGTTTGGGAGGTCTGTTGCAACAAATGTGAGTATCGCTGCAGTGGACATATCGGTCCTATTCTGCTGTGTCAAGGAACAGTCAAAATACGGATCTTAGCAAATGTCAGACCCTTTCTCCTCCACGTGTATGATAGTCATGCAAGCAAATGAAACTGCTGTCCCTGGTGTGCAAGAACTCTGCAGTAGGGGGGTCCTCAACCCTCCTAAGAGGTCTGGTCTTGTGTAAATGTCCCGAGTGTGGTAGATCAATTTAATTTACTTATGAAAGTTTGCTGGGGTTAAGCTGCCAGAATGGATTTCTCTCCAGTGGTCTACAGTTTTCACCGGAGAAACAGCTGCATTTCAGGAGAGGAGGAGCTGCTCCCGTAGCTCTAGGCTTTGCAGAGTGCTTAACTGGAGGAAGAGCACTGCAGCAGTAACATAGTGCAGGTATCAGTGCTAAATAGAAAAAAATTGTAACTGTACTGGATATTTTGGGATTTTTTACATGCCTTTCCAAACCTGCTTGTCCTTGCAGTTGCCAGTTTAGCCTTTGAAACAATTCAGCTGCTTGAGGTCTCATTCATCATCTAGGCTGGCCCAGGCTCCCCTCTTGGGAGGCAAGTACCTGGCCAGTGGGACCTGATGGTGTAGTAATTAGGAGTGGAGTTTTGATTCCTTGAGCTCAGTCTGGTAGACTTAGTTTGTCTAAAAAAATAAGGAAGGCATCCCTCATCTCCTTGCCATTCTGAACTTGTATTTGCTGTCCTTACTCTTGTGCAAGAGTGTTGCAGCCAATTCTGAGCGTGTTTAGGAAGATGGATGAATGCCAGCATGGTATGTGGGGTCAGGCACTTTCTGTAGCTGAGATCAGCGTTGGGGAACAGGCTGGGATGTTATATTTGTAGGTTGGGATATGGGGCAGCAGTGTGCTGACGTTGAAGCCCATGTTAAGTCTTTGTCTCCCCTTAATGAGATGCTGGTGTCAGAAGTTCACGTCGATGGTTCTGTGGTACAAAATGATATAAATGCCTCGATCCTCTGTAGAAGTCAGGAAGGTGGTAGCAGGGTCTCCATGCAGGTCATTTCTGCCTTAATTGTCTCCCCCCCCC